AAAAAAATGTAGGCATTCAAAAACAAACTCTTAAATTGCACAAATAAATACAAACATAAAAATACATTAAATTAAAAATCGAATAAAGAAAAAAAAGAAAAAACATTTTGCATTATGTGACAGTTTTACTTCGAGGGTCCTGTTAATTAAAGACATACTTACTCTTTGATCAGATGATAAGCACACCTTAATATTTTATTAATTGCTAATATATTGGGCTAACTTCCGCAGACATCTGCAGCCGGTCCGAGGCCTCTCGTTTCCACTTACACCTACCTGTAGAATAAGTTTTACAAGTTTTACAAGGACTCGGGGCGCTCCGAGCCGGACCCCTCGTTTTTATACAGCCAACATAACGGCCACTCCTGTGCTCAATCTGTCGCTTTATTTCAACCCCGTTCAATAATAAATACCCTGCCTGGATATTTAATTATTATTGGCTGGTATATTTTTTTTCCTCCCCTTTTTCTTCCTTCTGTAAGAAATTAACGAGATAATCCGGACGGCACGCGCTGGCCTGATTACAGGACGCCAGCCACGACTCCGCATTCAGGCTTCCTTAATTTTCTGCGTCACGAAAATAAAACAAAGACTGGCATTGTATTTATCAGACCAGCTGACTGCCAGACCCCCTCCCCCCCCCCCCCCCCATTACCCCCAAACCCCATCACAACCAGCCGCACAACTCACTTTCCCAAACTGACAAACGCTCATGTGGGCCTCTGTTATTATTATTATTATTATTATTATTATTATTATTAAACAAAGTTTTTTAATGCACTGCTATCACATTTAAAAAAACAAATCAGGCAGGTTGTAATTAAAGCTGTATTATATTATTATTATTGTTGTTGTTGTTGTTGTTGTTGTTGTTGTTGTTATTATTATAAATAATCTGAGGGGCTTTCCCCCTGAATAAGATACAAAAAACGAACTGATTTCGATGTGTTTAAGCTTAATTCTATCCAAGGCTTCTACTGAAACGTCCACAAGTTGCGGACTGCTCCACAGTCCCGCTATTCCTCGGCTCACTGCGTCTTTGCTTCAGGCGTGCAGCCCGGCAGAGGCAAGACTGGGAAAAAAGTTTCCCCCTGAACACGCCTCCTCAATTATCTCCCTGTAGGCTAGCTTCATGGCAAGCAGCTCCCAGTGGCTTTCATTGTCAATTAAATAATAATAATAATAATAATAATAATAATAATAATAAAAAAATAGAGTCAATCTAAATTAACGGCGGAAGTTAAATGGGCCACTTACTTCAGTTGTTAGGCGCTCGGTTTTTGGTCATGGGCCTGTGAAGGATTTATGTGCCTGCGGTAAACCTTTGGATGTGGATAATACCGAGAGATGCTCGGTATTTATGCTGAAAGAACGTGTGTGAGAGGAGAGAGAGAGGAAGGAAGGAAGGAAGGAAGAGATGGAGGGGGCGAAGAATTTTAGCAGCCAATGGAAATGAGACAAAATATGATGGGCAGGGGGGTATCAAAAGATGCAGTTGGAGAAAAGTGGCCTATTGCTGGCTCCGAAGCATCGCTGATGCCCAGCAAAGGGAACTAAAAAAATAATGTAATTACATATACGTTGATATATTTTGACACAGGTAAAATATGGCATGGTATTTATGGGCTAAGGTGTGTTGCCATCAGTGCTGTGACCATCAAATATTACAATAAACCAGCTGTGCTATTATGACATAATTATAGTAGATGGATTGACACGGAGGCTGAAGACAAAATATTAAAAAATAAGAAAAACAAATAATAATAATAATAATATTAATAATAATAATAATAATAATTTCGGAGAGATCTGTTGTGGTTTGATTCTGTGTAACTCCATGAAGAACATATGAAGAAAAAATAAATGTAAATGTTGGTTGAAACTTTGCGCCCCCACTCCCTACAGTCAAATCCTGAGCAATGTGTGTGCTTAAAAAAATTCTGTGGTTGTAGGAAGGAGGTGCAGGTTGCATTTCGGGATTAGATTACCACTAAAGCTAATCCCTCTATGCTCTTTTCTTTTCGCTCATCTGTTGTGCTCGGGCTTAATCCTGGATCCCAGTTCGGTTTGGATTTTTTTTTAAAAAATCATCAGTTTCCGACAAAACTTTGGCCTCCTCATCCCTAAATGAAGGCTTTGATTGATGCTCCCAAACAAACAGCAGGTTAGACAACTAATTAGGAGTCTATGTGCCAGATGAACAGACTGCGAGGCTGCTGGGTTGTTAGACAAGCCTGAAATCAATAAGGCCTGCACTCTGTGTGCTGCTACAGCAAATCTCAGCACCATTCGTGTCAATTCCTTGCATAAAGGCTTTAAAATCAATAAATAAATAAATAAATAAAACTGATTTTACCCTTATTTTTTCTTTTTTTTAAAAGTGCCTACTTTGGTCATTTCTGGATCTTTCCAAATCTCTATATAGCCTTTACAGTTTCACTGCAGGCCGTGGAGTTTTCCCATTTTCTGCCTTCATGGATGCACGCTAAAACAAACAGCCTCACCGGGCTTAAATATCTGGTCTCCTTGTTGTCCCACAGCGATGTTCTTGGCTCACGCAGAGTCCTTTCATCTTCAGCTCTGATATATAATTCATCGGAAAATATCTAACAGCCCTGGGGAGCGTTTCAGCTAAACGGAGCCGTGGTTGTTAAAAGGTGAAGTCGCTTGTTAATGTCTGTGGCAATATGCCCTCCCCCTGTCTCCCGGCGAATCGACGCAGTCACGGTTTCTCCTGCTGTTAGGGAGACGAATTGAAGGCTAAGAATCGTGGGACTGCAACGCTGCTCTCTCTCAGAGTGTACTGGATAATGCTGGCATGAGGGAAGTATGTTGAGCTGCTGCCACTTCTCTTTTCCAGCACCCATTTGTTTGTTCCTTGTACATCAGGGTGACAGACTTTAAACATTAAACATTTGTTTAAAAATATCATAATCACAATCTAATGAAAGAGTTTGATCTCTAATTTATGGAGTATAAATGGGGGTAAATGTAACATTTACATGATGTAAACACAATATACCAAATTGTATCGCTTCATGGATTAATATTCTTAATCTTTATTTCCTCTGACTACCTCTCACTTCAGTGGTCTAGGCCTAAATCAAGGTCAAATCAATGACTTGGCCCACTCTGTCAATCCCATCTGTTACACGCTGATGGGGGGGAAACTATATTGGACATTATCGTGATTTTTTTTTTCTTTTGCCATCTGCACCTGACAATGATAACTTTATTGATAGGCATTGTGGAAGAAGCCATACATGTATTGATGATTACAAGAAGACAAACCGAGCGTCCCTCGATATTTAACTATTGTATTAACAGAAGGCTCTGGGCAGCAGCTGAACAACGGAGACAAAAACCTTCTTATCCTGTGAGGGGGAGCTGTTTTCCAGCAACTCAAATGTGAAGTCACACTGGCAAAAAAAAGTGTATAGAGCTTTTTGTGTCTTATTGGTTGGGAGAGAAAAATGTTTGCTCCCCAACTGGTTGGTAAATAGTTGCTAGAGGTTGCTGGCTGTTGCCAGGGAAAATTGGCACCAAAGATGGTGCTACATCAAAAACCTCCTTATGATTGCTTTGCTGAGGTCACTCGTAGTTTGCATGGAAGATGCTGGGTTGTCTGCAAACATTGGCCAACTGCTAGCCGAGTGGTTGTACGACTTACAGGATGCAAACCAGAGACAAACTTTACTACTGCTCAGCTAGTTAGCAAAAAATTTGCAGAGTGACTACAGCTAGGTACTAGTGACCAAAGGAATTGCAATTAGACATTTGCCCCCCCAGTAAGAGAATACACATAGCCACTGATCAGACCTTAGGCCTTTGGGACTGTGTTTTAGGCAGCTGATTTCCCAGAAACTACCATCAACCTCTAACAAGCACTTGCCAGCTGATCAGGGAGCACACATTTTTCCCTAGCAAACAGTGGTTGATAGATGGTAGAGAACCAGTCTCCAGGCCTGTGTGGCTGGGGACTTATTGCCATGCTCAGATTTACATGACAAAATCCAATTATTGCAACAACACATTAAATAAAATAGCAAATTTTAACACCTTTAAATGCTAGCGTGGTTTGGCTACATGTACTTTTCCGGTGAAATGACATTTTGGAGATTCTTCTTTGATAGTTTGGTGTCAGTGCCGTACTTCATATTGCACCTGCAGCACAGTATTACAATTTTCCCATTATAGTCCACTGCCTCATGGCTGTCATAGCTAATATCACATCATATTCATGCCCTTCATTGAGATACA